GGAAATACGTTGACGTTAAAATGTAGCCTAACCAAACTGTACGTCATCCAAGCTTGATTTCCATGTTGTTCCAGGTGACCTCTAGGTGTCTCAAGTGCTCATTTGATCATTTAGCGCTTACAAAATGAGGGATTATTACGAACACCTTTTTTCCAGATTTTGGCAGTTTATAAACCATCAACTTAGTTGTTGAAACTTGAGTGTAAGGCAAAGGGAAATTCTCCAGAGAAGCACATTTTTGTACCAAATCCTGACAAAGCAATCTTTGTACGTTTACCCTGAATTGCAGCAGTGCTTTATTCAGACTACATTTACCTTCTGCTATCAAACAGTCCAACAAATATCCAAATGTACTTTGAAAAAACATCGAGATCTCGATGTGTGCTTCCCACACTAGCCACAAAGGAGTGGAGCAGAGACGAGGTTAGCTATTGATTTGTTTGATTCTTAAATATCACCGCTCACCCAAACTAACACACACGGAAGTCAGCTGCAATCACTGAATAATTCTGCCGTATCATCATAACGACGTATCAAACCGAGATGCTCAATGCAACAAACTGGAGCTTTCATCTCCACATACGCTTTTATGTGCCATTCTTTTCTCCCCGTGCGGCCCTTTATCCTCAACAAATCTTTGACATTAGCGCAGTTCTTGTCATCTTGAAGTTCACCTCGGTGAAAATTCACTATCCCCACAGTTTACCTCAGTGCAGACACTCGTCTCTTTATCTGTCCGATGGCTGCTACCTTTCTCTCACAATCACCTTGTCAATTTGTCTCTTTATTTCTCATCTGTGTTGCTCACCTTAAGCCCTTTCTCCTGCTCTCTTTCACTCAGACTTTTTCAGGGCAGCGTTTTTCTCTCTGTTGCTTTTTTTTTTTAAAGTAAAAGCACAGACGGTATAAATCAGCGATCCCTGACCAAGGACCAGTAGGCCTTTACCAGTCAGTACTGTGGACAGGTGTCTCCTGACTCTACGCCATCCCTGTTATACATCTATGAAGCCCATGGATATTGAAGGATTGTTATGGCCTGGTGAATTTTCCAAATAAAACACATTTTTTACTTTATCCTTTCAGCATTTGAATTTGAAAAACTGCTGTATTAACTTTATATGAAGTAAATTATCCGGCCTTCTGTGGCCTTGTACCAAATGGCCCACGGACTTGTAACGGTCCAGGGACCAGGGGTTGGAAAGTACTGTTTGATATTAAATAGTCTGCTATGAAACCAACCTGATGTGTCTGATCAACAGATAAGAGAATCTAAAGAGGGTAAAGGTCAAACAACCTTTTGGTGTGTATAGAAAAGTGAGAAAATACCATAAAGAGCTGCAGCATAACAGTGTTAATCATGACGAACAAAACCACAGCAACTAGAGGAACAGAAACATCTTGTTGTGACCAGATAATCTGCCCGAGGCACACGTCTCTACACGTGCCAACGTTCCAACAACCTGTCCACCTATACAACCGCAGATGATTTCTGTCCAGTTATTTATTGGATAATACCCACTGAAGGTCATTGGTGTGGTTTTTTTTCTCTCTCTCTCTGCTCCAAACGCCCATGTCTAGTGTAAGTGTGTTTTTATACGTCTGTGTGTGTGTGAGTAAGTGAAACGGGGCTGATTCATTGGTCAGTATCCTTGGTGATCATGGTTTCTCTTCAGCCTGTAAATCTCAACAAAAGCCGAGGAATTAACAGCCAATAGCTGTAATTTTTTTCTTTTGGTGAGCTTTTTGCGTACAATGCTTTTGTGTTTTTCTTTATTTATTCCTGTCAATGCAGCACACCCCGCTTCTTCACGTATGTTTCTGCCTCTCGTTTGCCGCTCTCACTGAACATAATTTACTGCTTGCACTCTGTGGCCCAAGCCGCTCGACGGGATCATAAAAGTGAGGCTTCATTCTTCCCGGCTGCTGAGAAAACAGGGATGTTTGTCACCCACCAAAAGGGGGCAATAAATGCATCCCACGGGGTGTAACACACATGAGTGGTCATCCACCTGCTAAAAAATAAATCCCACGACCCATCTGCCAATTTTGAACGGCAGAATCCTGGTCTGTCTGACCCCCGTGCACGTCCAGTGTTTGTTGGCAGTTCCTAATTCCTGCAAAACAGCCACAGTGGCTGTGGGCTCATCTCCACCAGAAAACCTGACTTTTTTAATTTATTTATTTTTTTTGTCGACCTCCGCAGCAGTCTATCAGACCACCAGCTGCTCTCTGAATGTGGAGATTTGCATCACTTTGCACATCAGAATCAAAAGCATTAGCATCAAGCCCTCTTCATCATTTCCCTAAATCTACTCACAACATCGTCAACTTGGCTGCGTTTAACTCGAGCAAAGAAGGAGACGGAGGGAATGTTTGATAAGTACAGAGCCGTGAAGCAGTGCCTGTCTCTCAGGCTAAGCCAGTCTCCCCGTGGTCAAACATTTCTGTGCACGTATGACTGCACCCATTGTCTCTGATTTTCTGCACCCACTGAGTCTCTCCGTTTGACATCACAACAAGTCAATCCTGTGTCCCTGACTTTGCATTGACTGACAGAGTAGCACTTTCCCAGACCTCTTCTTCCTATTGGCACACTGGCGTCTTTTCAAACAAAAAACCACAGCGGATGCAAGGGGAAGAAAACACAAAACACACACGCGCACACACACACACACACACATTCTAGTCATCAATTAGTGATGCACATTTTAGGGCCTCTCCGTTCCCTGCAGTTATCAAGCAACAGACACTCAGTGATCTGAAAAGCACAGAAAATGCCTTTAAATATTACCTTCTGCTACTCAGAAGTGCACATTAGATCCATCAAAAAAATAAAATTTCCATCGTTAAACATAATTATCCTGAACCTGCAGGCTGCTTAAAATAATCTAATCATATCAAACACAGTTTGCATGGCATCAGGCGTAAAATGCTAATGTGCTGTTTAAAAAAAAAAAACCAAACATCTTTTTCTAAACATATGTCTTGTTAATGTTCAGGCAAGCACTAAACATAAGTCGATAGACATAAACTGAGGTGCAATAATACATCTGTCCCAGTGATTTTATCGGGATCTGGCTTAAAAGGGTAGCTTGTGTATGAATACAATTGCAGAAAATATCATTTTTAAGATTAGAACTAAAGTATTTTACTGTATTGTCTTTGACAAGAGAATATTACTCACAAACAGGGGCTTTACATTATGTATGGATCTCAACATAAAAGCTTCACAATATCCTAGAGATGAAATTATTTTTCTGACGACTTCTGACTCATCTAGTGGAGATGCTTTATGCAGTGAAACTCTCTCGGTCAGACCGTGGTGCCGGATCACGTGACTGCTGTGTGGCAGTTATCGTCCCTACAGCTCCATTTGTGATGACCTCCTGATCCTGCTTTTCCTTTCAGCTTTCACATTCACATAGTCTTGCCTTCCTCAAGTACCCCCAGCGGACCAGTCCATTACTGGTTTCGGTGCTGCTACAGTCAGCCGGGGCAACATCACACGCTGCCCCCCCCCCCCATCACCACACCCTATGTGGTGCAGTCCGGAGCTTCTCACCAATCATGCAGAAGCCATAATGGCCACACAAGTATATCCCCCGTTCTATCTGTAGCTGGCACTCTTGCATCAGATTTGCACTGCTTACTGCTCTACGCAGCACCTTTTAGTCTCTGCCTCTCTCAGGCTCGCTCCCTTCTCTTCCTCTGGTACCGCGCTTTGCTCTTAGTCATTATTTGCCTCTCTCTTTTTTTTTTTCCTTTTCAACCTCTTTTACTTTAATTTAATTTTATCAATTTCACAGTTCTTTTGCTTCCTTTACTATCTCTGACTCCGTTTTCCTCCCTATTTATCTTCTGCCCTCATTCCTTCAGCCTTGTTTGTTCCTGTTCTTCCTGGCTGTATTTTTAGTCTCGCGTCATGCGTGTTTTGCGCCGACCAGTTTTTACTGTCTCACTTGCTGAGTAATACCGCTTTAGTAGCAATCTATGGCATATTCCTGCAACTTGAATTTCATTTAGCAGTTAATGTTTTTCTTAAAGACATGTCGCCCATATTATTTTACCCTCCGTAGGTAAGCTTTCTGAGCGGTGTTTAAATTAATACGTCTTGGTTTTGCTTCCTCTTTTAAACGGCTTGATGAATGCTAATGAAGCACTCAGACAGAAAGTTAAAAAAAAAAAAAAACATGATGCGGAGGACGAAAGAAAGGAGGGAAGGACTGTTTCCCATGGAGACGGGCTGTTTGGTGGCTTTGGTTATCCGCTGATTGACGACCTTGTAGCCATATTGACTTAGTATGATGGAGCTTTTTATTGCACAGGGCGACATAATGTGATCGTATGCAAAACACGCTCTCCTGTAGAAGAGTGCGTTGGAGCTCAGGCCCCATCATACCAGACATGAGTGACATTTGGGGGATACACTGCTGTCGTCTTCCTGCCTTTGTGTTATCGCACGCTTTTGACACAGTCGGATTAATACACTTCACACACTTGCTCAAATCTAGGCAACCCACACACCCACGCCTGGCAGAACTCGTCTTGTTGTGGACTGCTGGAATTTCAATACAAACATGAGTAAACTACTGGAGTGGGAGACAAAAGCATGACTCCTCAAATGCTGACAACAATAATCTGGCCACGCTGGAGTGTAGTTGTTATGAATTGTTGTGTCTTTGTAGTATCCTTTTACTGATTCCTGACAAATTGTGTATCTTTTTATTTTGCTATACTTTGTTGCTGAAGTGAAAGAAACATCATCACCAACAAGTGGAGAGAAGTCTACTTGATTTGATTATATCAACCAACCAATCATGACAGCCTTAGCGTCCCTGACAGATTTGTTCACAAATCTCTTAAATCTTCAATGCTGACAACACAAAGTGCAATAACCACATGCATATTCCTGAGAAAAAAAACTAAATGTCTTATTGCCTCGAATTCAGAACTTTCTCTAAGGACATTAAACGTAGAAAGAGATGACTGTAATTAGAACTTTCTCTATTAAACGTAGAAAGAGATGACTGTAATTGCTCCGTTTACTTTTTCAACCGTCCATTACCACTTGCCTTTTTCTGACTCCATCACTCCTGCCACCCACAACCGTCCCATCAGCCTTAAGACAATGTACACATCACTCTTCTCATCCTGACACTTTCTACTGCAGGTTAAGTACATCACAAGCTCCTCGCTAACTGCCTCTGTTTTTTTTTTGATTGCCTTTGTGATGCCACGTTGGCTTCTCTGTTCTTTAAGTTCAAATAACATCACCCTTACATGCGTCTTCCTTAGATGATGAAATTTCTATCAACCAGTGCAGTGGAGTGCGCGACTAGGCCACAGCTCTCCCTGCACAGACCTGTGATGGTGGATTTGATCATAAACTACTGCTGTTGTGGTCTATTTGATGACGAGTTTTTACTCAATGTCAAAAAAAAGAATCAAAATGCATTTCTTCTGCACTCTAAGCAGTTTGTGGCTCTTAGTGGTTGATTACTCTGAGCTTTTCTCCTCCATATCCTTTAAATAACCAAATGTGTCTCCGACAATGTCACACAATATGCAGTACCGTGGCTTCAACACCGGGCTGGCTCCTGTCCTACATACACACACTATGGTTTCCATACACAAACTGGTTCAAGTATGCAACACAAGCCACAGGACAGCGTGAATGTGCCCGTTATCTTTCTTTGTTAGGCACCGAACTGAGAGCGATATTATGACTGAGAGGGGTGAAATTGTCAAGATGAAAAATGCACAGTTAATGGCAAGACACAAATGCATTTGTCACCATAAAAAGCCCCCATACTGATGGATGAAGGCACAACAGCTGGCAATGCAATGAAAAGTGAAATGAGGATCTATATTTTCTGGCAAAGTGCAAGACAGTCTCAACACCTAAACAGTATTTCACCTTAATTTATCTACTTCACACTCGTCAAAAACATGACTAATTACATCAGTTAGTGATGGCGAGAATATTAGAGGTAGCACACTCAGCTTCAATTACTGAGGATCTTTATATAATGAACATTGTGATTAAGAATAGATGTTATGAGAGCACTGCTATACTTGTTTTTTTTTAAAAAACCCTTGCATCTTGTAAAGATCTAAATGAATAGAAGAGCTTTTGATGAGAAACACTGTGAGAAAACCAGCCTTCAGTTTACCACTAGGTTTAAGTTTAAATCATAAAATTATTTTTAATAGATTTAAAAGTAAAGCACCAGTCATTTCAGCAATGTGATTCATTCTGCTTGACTCATTCAGCACATGTAGGGTTAAAGTATAGCTGCAGCGTCTTACTGCAGTGTCTAAAGCTTTTGGCTGATCGTTACAGTATACGCTAGAAGAGAAGCAGAAAAAAACATATCCCTTTAAAACTTCCTTCTTTTTTTCTTCCAAAAATCCATTTTATTGCATTTATAACATTTGGCACAGTACAAATTCTTGGTGCTTTTACAAGATATACCTGTAAAGATCGACATTGACCTTTTTCGGTTTTTGTTTAAGAAAGTCTTCTCAGTATAAATATTTTCTCAACACTGCATTCTCTGTAGCATGGTGTAAAAATCTCACAGAATGCCCCTTTTGAAACAAGACTACCCTCATTTGTCAAAGTCAAGACAGCATCTTAACAACTCATTTTTAAATAGAAGTTACAAGTTAGAAAATAGTTTCATTTTCTTTTTAATATATGTTTCTCTATCACCAGCCCATGGTAGTTTCAATTTGTCCATATATATATTTATTTATAAGCATGTACAACAAGAAATAATCAGTCTTTAGGTTTTCACTCTGTACAAAAAAGTAATTCCTGTCCTTTTTTGTTGTGCATTCTATTGCATGATTTTACAGGGAAAGGACAAAGTATGGAGGATGAGTTTGGTGGGTGGGACCAACGGGTCTGGGTAATGGATTTGGAACTTTGGGGGGGCAAAAAGGTGGGAGGGGGCGGCATTTAAATCTGAGTCTCCTGCACCTTCTCCTTGTTGTGAGTTTTTATGACAAAGGGCTCAGCCATTGTTGTAATCGCACTGGGCAAGGTTCGAGGCAAAGAGTTCCCAACATTGTTCTCTGTCCATTTAGCCCCATGGCCACTTGGTTTGTAGGTGTTATATTTAGGCTTCATAGTGCTGTAGTCCACTTTGTGAGGGCTGTAATCCATTTTGTGTGGACTGTAGTCAAGGTTTTCTCTCTGAGTGTGTGGACTGAAGTCTGACTTGTAGGCGATGTAATCCGTTGCAGTCTTATGAGGAGTGTAAGGGTCCTTGGGGTTGTAGGTTAGGTCAGTTTTAGACCTCTGGGCGTTGTGATCTGTTTTGGACTTAGGTTGAGTGCTGTAGTCAGGTTTGTATTGGGAGTAATCTGGCTTTTGTCTTGGATGTGTACCATAGTCCGGCTTGAACGGGCTGTAGTCGGCCTTAGATTTTGGCTGTGTGTCGAAGTCTGATTTCAGTGGGCTGTAGTCATGTTTGGACTTGGGTTGTGTGTTGTAATCTCGTTTAAATGGACTGAAGTCGGGTTTCTGCCTGGGGTGAGTGCTAAAATCCGGTTTGAAGGGGCTGTAGTCCGTTTTGCTTTTTGGGTTGGTGCCAAATTCTGCTTTAAATGGGCTGTATTCTCCTTTAGTTTTGTGAATATTTTGTCTGAAAGGGCTGTAGTCTGGCTTTGTTCTGTGGTGGCCGAAATCTGGTGTAGATTTGTGAGCGCTGTAATCTGGGATGGGTTTGTGGCTACTGAAGTCCACATTCGGCTTATAAGTCGTATACTCCGCCTTGGGCATGTGAAGCGTGAAATCCGGCTGTGGTTTGTATTCAATCTTGGGTTTGTGATAGCTGTAGTCGGTCTTGTGGCTAATGAAGTCCAATTTATGTATGCTGTTATGGTCCCGGATTTCAGGCAATGTGAGAGCTGTCTCTTGAGTTGCAGATGCTGGTGGTGGAAGATCTTCCTCATCCACCTGAATAATCTCCACAGTACGAGCAGCGGCCACTGTGCTCCTCTGCTGATGGCGCTTTCTCAATTTGTAGAAGGCAATTAACATGATGGCAGCCAACAGGGTCACTGCCACAAAACAGCCAATTATGATCTTGGTAGTCTTCATCACTTCATCCAGGCTGGGCCCAGGTTTACCCGGCTTACCAGTGGCACCCTGGAGCCCTGGCAACGAAGATGTCTTATCTCCACTTGGTGAGCTGTCATTGTTTTGCAGCAACACAGTTGGTGTCGAGATGAACACTGGCTGGAACACGGAAGGGGAGGCGGTTGTAGTTGTTGTTCCTAGGCCTATCCCTCCCCCTGCTAGCCCAACACCAGTTGCTGATGCTGTGCCTGTGGTGGTGCTTTTAGGTTTAGGCATTTCAGTGGTAGGTCCCAAGACTTCCACAGTTACTGTTGTAAAGTAGCTCAGGTTGGATGTATTTAGCTCGGCTGCGCTCACATTCAGGTAGGCAGAGGCATTGGAGTTCCCAGCTGCATTGGAAACCATGCAGGTATAAGTGCCTTTGTCTGATGTTAGGACGTTGGAGAAGTTCAGAGTGCCATCATTCAAGACTAATATTCTTGGGTGATCTGAGGCATGTGTCAGTACAGTCCCATTAGGCAACAACCATCGAACTGAGGACATTGATGCTGTGCTGCAACGAAAGTCAGCTACTCGCCCAGCTGAGATGTTTAAGTCTTTTGGTGCATCAGCAATGAATGGTGCGGAACACTGAACTGCAGCACCCTCTCCTCGATCCACCTCAACCAGTTGTCGACCCCTCATGCTAGCAGGCGAGTGACAGCGTCCACAGCAAGTCGAGTTGGTCGGGATGTACTCCCTTAGCCAGCGTGCTAACCATACAGCCTCACAGCCACAGGTCCAAGGATTATGGTGGAGATGGAGCTCCACCAGGTACCTGAGCGGGTAGAATAGATCATGGGGCACTGCAGACAGGTTGTTATGGGCCAGATTGAGCTCCACCAGCGAAGATAGGTCGTCAAATGCATTTCTTTCTATTACAGTGATTTGTGAGTTCATCACCCATAGCTTTTTCAGTGAGCGCAGGCCTTTGAAAGAGCCAGGCCTTATCACCGGAAAGTGATTTTCAGATATTTCCATTTCCTCTAGACCCTTGAGAGGACTCAGATTTGGCATATCACCTCTTATGTTGCACATGCCCAGATTGAGGTACTTGAGGTTATGTAAGCCCTCAAAAGCTCCCTCTGAGATGTACTCCAGTTTCCTTAGCTCGCCCAAGTCCAGTCTCATGAGTGAGGGCACTCGGTTGAAGGCGTAGGATGGTATACTCTCAATTGGGTTGTTCCTTAGCCACAGTTCTCTAAGTTTAGAGAGGTACTCAAAGGCTCCACTGGGTACCACGGTCAATCTGTTGTCAAACAGCTCCAGTGTGTTGAGGCTGGTTAGTCCATTGAATGCGCCCACCTCAATCTGACGAATTGCATTTCGCCCAAGTTGAAGCACCTCAAGGTGGTGCAGGTGGCGAAAGGAGTCAGCCTGCACCGCCTCAATGGCGTTCTCCATGAGATTGAGGTGGCGCGTGTTGGCAGGTATGCCAGGGGGCACACGAGTGAGACCACGTCGAGTGCACACAACCTTCCCCTGCTGACTACTACAGGAACACTGGGGTGGACACCCCTGGGCTCCTTGGGATGACGCCACCCCCGCTGAGGCCAGGGAGGCGCTGCTCCATGCTCGAGCCATCAGGAAGACTACACAGAGCAGGGTGGCTTTCCTGGCACGATGCACAGCTACCCGCCCCAGGAGACTCATGATGTGGCACGTTCATAATTCACCATCATCTGGGGGGGAGGATGGGGGTTGGTGGACTAATGTTTTGGGGTAGCAGGAAAAGTAGCCAATTGGCCGATAGCAGTGTCGGTGTTAATATAAGTAGGGCACCAGATTAAAGAGTCAGAAACAGAAAAGGTCAAGAATGAAATGTGTGTTTTTAGGGTTTTGCTAAGGTCTGACTGGACTTGACCTGTTCTTCAGCGAGCAATTCTTTAATTGCTATCAACTGTTCTCATGGAGAAGGGGAAAGGGAAAGATGGGAGGAGTCTTTACGAATGTCTATATGTGAAGGGAATCATGGTAAATTAAGCATTTTAAAAAATATAGTACATGACAGAAGGGGTCATTTGTTACAAATTTATGCAATAAGGGGTTGAAACACTAGACACCTACCTCAAGTAATTATAACAGGTCCTTGAACTGAGATATATAGCTTCCCTCCTTTTTGCAATCACAATGCTGTGGCATTCAGCTGTGTACATATATATATTCCAGAGCAGCAAAGAAAGCCTTTTTATATATTTTCTTTTTCAAAACAGGTATCAGTGCCAAAGAGCTTAACCAAGATGAGCCCTTTTGTAATTCCACACATCCAAAAAGAGAGATTCAGAGGCCCCTAGTGAGTTCTTTTTTTTTTTACCCTTTTCTCGCTGACTAGGGAAAAGAGAGAAAAAAAGAAAAAAAAGATAGGAATCCACTCAGGCTCCCAAAGCAGCAGCGCTCCCTTGCTCAGCTCTCGTTGTCAGCTCCTCTTATCTCGCATGTCCTTGGAATCCGACAGTTGATCCCTCTGCCAAACACCTTAACCAGATTTCCATTGAACGAGTGACCACCAAAATAAACAGTTACAGTTTTTTTTTTGCACCAATGTCAATGCAGAAAGGACAAAAAAGGCAGGTTGGTGGTAGTAAAACTGAAGAGTTCTGAATGAAAATTCCACCTTTTTTTTTTTAGTGTTCTTCGCCTTCTTTGCAGTAATTTAGAGCGCAGGTTGAAAAGTCAAGTTATTTGAAAAAAAGAAGAAAAGAAACAGCCCCCTCCTCTCAATATTCCTCTGTTCACTTTTCAGTGGTCAATCAATTGGTCGGTTGGTCAGTCTGATAGCCCTTTTCTCTCCTGGCTTTTTTTTCCCCTCTTGCTGCCGGTCTTAATGTGTCGTCGTGTCCATTTAATTTTTCCTTTTTTTTCCCTCCTCGTCCTCTGCAGGAGTGCTTGCCGTAGGTTGAAAAGGCTAGGCGATAAACATTGCCTTCATTAGCTTCTTCCTCCTCCTAACTGGCCACATGCTCTTGTCTTGGCATCTGCGGTGGTAACAGCAGCAATTGAAAATGCACACACACCATCCTCGCGAAGCACGCAGCAGCAGCAGCAGCGAGCACACACAGCAGCAGCAGCTGCAGCCTGCCTCCCGTGCACTTCCCAATAATCCGTCAATTTCTTCAGAGGGGAGTGGATTGGGGGGATGGAACGGGGTGCCGGGAGGTGTGGGGGTGTTGTAGCAGGGTTGATGGAGGTTGGATAGAGGGAGGAGGGGTGGTGCGCAGTTTTTCCTTCCTCTCTCGTCTTTTTTTTTCTTTCTTTCTTCTTGTTTCTTAGTTCTTTTCTGCCCCCTCCTCTTCTCCTGATGATCAGCACCCTCTCGCCAATGCAGAAGAGGAGCAAGACGGGGAAAACGAGCGATGGGTGAATGTGCGGCTCACAGGCGTGACGTTAACAGTAGCGTCGATGTGGAAAGGATCAGTTGTAGCAGCAAAAGAGAGAGTGCGCGCCGGGGTTGTGTCTCTCTCACTCTCTCCCTCTCTCTCACCTCCCTCCCACCCTCCCTCTCTCACTCTCATGCTCTCTATCTCTCTTGCTCTCTCTCTCTCTCTCTCTCTCCTTTCCTCTCTCTCTTCCACTCTCTCTTCAAGCCTTCCTCCTGCTCTCTGCAGTGTCCTGAGGTAGTTGGGTTAGCTCAAAGCACTCAGACCTTTTCAGAGATCTACCTCTTGAAAAGCCGGTTTGCTCTTGCTGTCCTACACTCTGTTTTTAATACTCCGTCTCTTGTTCTGTGGCTTTCTGAGGCTTTGTGTGGCTTAGGGGAATAGACGAGCTGTCCAAGCAAAAGACGAGGATGGAGAAGAGTGGCATCCCCACAGCAACCAGATTTTAACCCCCTCCTCACCAGCAATAATCCAGGCATTCCAAAAGAGTCTGGCAATGCTTCCCCCTTCATTGCTTTGGTGGCAAAAGCGGGCAGATGGAACACAGTTCCTTTCACTTCCTCTCCTCCTCTGTGCACTTCTTTTTTTTTTTCAACCCCATTTTAACTCTTTTTTTGTTTTTTTCTTTCATCTCATGTTTTTAGTGGAACATAGAGAAACATGAATGGACTGCTGACGCATCCTGCTTGGAGCAGTGGTTTGGTTTGATGCAGTGTGTTTTTGTGCATTAACCCTCCCCACTTCTACTTTACTCTCACACTCACTGTCTTCTCTTTTTTCCACTCGGTCTTCATCTGTCATTTTGTCACTCTGCTTCATCTATAGCTTTTCTAAATCTCCTACGAGCTTACATTTGCATTCACTGTCTGATGGAATAATTGTGTATATGGCTCCTTCAGATTTATTTCCGGGCTGTAAGGACTGCATATGTGACTTACCGCCTCGTGGATTAAACCAAAAACAGATATTGCGTGTTTGCAAATTACCCGACCATGAGAGAAAGGGAATTAAATAGGAATTCTCCACACTCTTTTTTTCCTGCTGCTCCTTCGTCATCTGAGCTCGGGCAGCTACTCAGAGCTCATTAAAAGGCAGACTTTAACCCTGAGTTTGGGCAAAAACTGTCACTTTACAAGCATCCAGGCGTAAAGGTCATTCTGTGGAACGCATGCAGGAGGAAACAAGACATGCTTTACCTTCCTGTCACAGGAGGAAATGCTAAAGAAACGCACACTACTGTCCCGTCGTTCTGCTCTACTCCCAATAATTTGTACAAGCCTCATGTCCATTAAACGAGGGAGAAGTGTGGGTAATTGATGGCTGGTAGAGCAGGCTGTGACAGACTCAATAGGTGTGTGTGTGTGCATGCGTGAGTTTTAGCTTTAGTGAAAGTGTGTGTGAGTGTGAGAGAGAACGAGAGAGAGAACCTAAGAAAGGAAAAGTGAGCGAGGGTAGTAAACATGCAAGCCAGAAAAGGTCACACTGCCTGTAGCACAGTATGTTATTCCCTGCGGCACAGGAGCATGGAGCCAACTCCTATATAACACACACATGGACGCATAGACATACACACTTGCACACACTGCAAGACTTTTCTCCTTGACTTCTCTACAGTTGAAAAATGAATGGAGTTCAATGAGGCCCATGTAACACCGTGGTGGCAGCCACAGGAGTACGTTGGGATTCCACAGTCAAGTCAGAAAGACAGTTTTCCTCTCTCTCCATACGGGATTCCCTGGTGCTGTAACCATGTCGATCGGCTTGAATGCGTGTCGTGCCGATGCCTCCCAATAATAGTCATTTTCTCGGAGCAAATAAAAATTTGCTAAACCACTGGCGGGTCTATGATACAAATGCTGGGCCTTTTTTGTTTCGACAGTGTGCTGCTGTCACAACTATGCAAACATTTCATTGATCTTTCTGTCAGTTGAGCAAACTTTCAAATGAAAACTTCAGGTTCTCTCTGTGCCTATTGATGACTTGAGTTTAATACAGTGTGCCTAGCAGCCCCGCCGTGTGCTCCCTCGTAAGGTGTCACAGAGTAGTTTGTGTGTGTGCTTGTCTGTGTGTGTGTTTCTGTTGAGCGAGTGATCCGGAATGACTTCAGCCTTGTGTTTTCTTCACCTGGCACAGCACACTTGCCACCAAAACCTAAAGTAAGAATTAATCCATCGACCCATGATGTGATCGCCACAGCAAGGCCTCCACCTCTTGGCCAGGTGTGTCTTTCTGGTCACACACATTCTGAGACCTTTTTGGTCTCATGTGTAGATGCTGTTCTCTCACTTTGGATGAAACCTTGTCATGGCCTGACAAACTCTGTAAAAACCTGGCCAAACTTTTCAGACTAAATTGTAAAGTGCTCCAGTACAGGGTTCGGGTTCCAGAATTTATGGGTCTCCACTGAGAACCCTCTGAACCAAGCTTTAAGAACAGCAAGAAGCTGATATTTTCTGATGCGTGTATACTGGCTCTGTACTCACGCTGCCACAAACATGACCAGTCTGAAATCCTGATTATCCAGAGCTTTTTTACTACCAAAACTGCTGTTTAAATATGACTCTGCAAAAGAACCTTTAGCTCATCGTGCATTTTCAGTTTGTTTTTGATTGTGCCAGCATATCTACTGGCTGGTAGAAGCCACCACCACCAGGGTCATAAGTACATTATAATGAATAAAGTAGTGTCAGGCCTTCCCACTAGGTCTTGCAATTATGATGGACTGATGAGCTGTCAGCTATGTGGGACCTTCACGCTATCATTCCAGGCCCTTTCCCGCTGTTTAAGCAATCCTTGCCCTCACTAATTCACCGAGGGCTCTATGGATGCCACCTCCCTGCACTGGGCCAGTAACCGGGGTGTGGTTAGGGGGTACCACACGACCTACTTTAGTACCGCCTGTCCGCTAGACAGCCAGCATGTTCAAGGGGTACGTGCAAGCAGAGTCAGAGTCATCCCCTGGGGTGAGTGCTTGCAAATCTGGGCTGCAGCCAGTCACATGTAGGTCAGCAGCCTGTGTCTGTTTGCGTTTGTGTGTTTGTACCCGGGGTTTGGTTTGGATGAATGGCCTCTAGTACTGTGTAGTAGCAATTACAATTGGATTAGCGGAACGTACAGTCAAATCATAGATCTGATGATAATGTCATTGCCTCTGCCATTGCCAGGATCAAGGATTTACAGAACGGACCCTCGGGCAATCCATGGATGCTTTACTGGTTGTGTACAAGAGAGCAGAGCAATATTTTCTCAAGGAGACACGAGGCACACTATTTTTGGACTTGTCTTGTGCTTCGAGAGCCATTATGAGTTTTATGCATTCAGGTGTGCTACGAGTGCGCATACATCTTATTATGTCCTATCCAGTAATGTCTCAATGGTAAACACCACTGACCATCATGGCTGCTGTGACCGATGACACAGAAACCTTGAACACGTGCAGATGGGGATGTTTCAAACTCTTTGATGCTAATCTTGGATGCAGAGAACCTGCATCTACACACTTCATGTCATTTTCAATTCAATCTCAGGGTCAATTCAGTGTGAGATTATGTGTGACACTCACCAACACACATGGCAAGCATTGTCCCTGTGGAGGCTTAAACTGTTCAGTGAGAAAGACTTTTCTTTATTTTTTTCTCTGTGTATCACTTTTTAATCACCACAGATTATGATACCAAACCAAGTATATATTATAGTAGATCTGGCAGTACAGGTTAGACCAGTTGTTTTGACTCAGTAATTTAATATTTCACTCATCTTGTGTGACCTCTGCTGAGCACAGTAAAAAATAAGGACACGTTTTCTCTCCAAAGTTCGAGGGCACTTTACTATGAACTTTACTGTTGTTGTCTGCATTTCCACAGTTGTGAAAGTATCACAAATTCCCTGAAAATCCATCTTCTGGTATGTGACATCAGCATAAAGATTCTGCATTACTCTTGTATGGAGGATTGTTGTCCAAATCCTGGTCCTTGCTGAACTGTGGTGCATCAAAAATAACATGTAGAGCTAGCTCACAATTCTGACTAGGAGATGATAAAACCGCAAATATAAACAGCACTGCCCCTAGTTTTTTTTTTTTGAAAGATGCACCCCTAGAATACTGATATGAATGCAGGTGTAGTTTTATGTGCCTAGTTA